TGCTCTACCTTGATTTTCCCTGGATTAAAATGGGGATGAAATTGGACCCAAAGTTTTTTTGTGGTTGTGAGAATTAAATGAGATAATCTATGTAAAATAGTTAGCAGAGCAGCTGCCTGTAATAAACTCTCAACAAGTGCTAGGCACTCTTATTATTATTAGTTTTCATATGCTTTTTTCCTTTGCCCAAACTAGTTCCACAGGATCCCGTCACCACCACTTCCTCCTCGCTTCCTGTTTATCTAGTTATTTGCAAAGCACCTCCTCAATGAAGCCTTTCTGGATTGGCTGCTCTGAGTGTGGCAGGTACACACCTCTTCTACAGCCCTTTCCACTCTGGGCTATCTGCATTTGTAAAGGAGAGTCCTCCTTTACTCTCTCACAAGCATCACGAAGAAGACATGTCTCAAACCATTGCAAGGGAGAACAGGGACCCAGAAGAAATTCTGATGCCCGTGCTGAAAACTCCCTAGACCTTAACTCAAGCCTCACTGTGATCAAGAAGCATCAGACTGACCCATCCATCCTCAGTACTATCTTTCCAATAATTATTTCAGAATATTTAAGAACCCCTATTGACATATTACATCTGCCTCCAGCTCCACCCCTCAATCAAGAATCTGTTTAAGGGTGGGTGCTGTTTTGGCCACATGTTTTTCTGATATTCTCTTTTGAAATGGTTTTTTAAAGAAATTAAATTGTGGCTGGGTGCAGGGCTCATGCCTGTAATCCCAGCACTTTGGGAAGCTAAGGCCAGAGGATCACTTGAGCTCAGGAGTTTGAGACCAGCCTGGGCAACATTGGGAGATGCTGATTCTACGAAACATTTTAAAACTTAGCCAGGGGTGGTGATACGCACCTGTAGTCCCAACTACTCGGGGGGCTGAGTGTGGGGTCCTGAGGTGTAAGGATTGCTTGAGCCCAAAGGTCAAGGCTGCAGTGAGCCGTGCTCGTGCCACTCTACTCCCGCCTCCATGACAGAACAAGGCCCCATCTCAAAAAATAAATAAATAAATAACTCTTATGAATTTGTTTATCTGCTCTTTTGCTTTAGCCTGGTCTCTCAATGAGCCACAGTTGCTTTGGAAGAGCATACTGTCCAGGCGGAAGAACCACAAAAGCTAAGGCTAAAGACAGCCATAAAAGCATCAGCCTGCATGTAACAGTGACAGGCTTATAAAGCACACTCACACAACACAAATCTTGGCCCCAAAGACCAGGAAATTTTATTTGCCATTAACCGTGCTCTTTCCAGGAATTGGATGCCTTATGGCAAAAGAGAGAGTTGTTTTCCCACACCACCTCCTCCTCCCCACCCCGCCCCCCTAAAAACCCTGTCATTCCCACCGAATTCATACTTTCTCCCTGTCTCTTACAAACAGGGTCATAGTTCACATAAACAACTCAAGGCAAAGATGAGGGAAATGCAACATCTCCTGGAATTGATACTTTTGCATTTCACCAAACAATAAATACATGTCATATCCTCTTTTGTTTGTCATGGCACTAAAAAGGGAGGAAAATCTCAATTCTGCTAGTTTCTATCTGGAATACAAACGACAGGCGCCAGGCTTCCCATCTCACAATGAGTGCCTTGGAGAGATGGTGGTGTGCCAGGGGTGGGGGAAGAGCTGTTTTTAAAGAACCCAAACAAAAATTGCAGAAACTGCAAAACCCAAACGTTTGCAGCATCTAAACTGGCAGAGAAACTGTGGGGTAGAAACTTACAGTCTGCACTAACAACTACCTGAGTGGCCTGGAAGTACAGAGCTCTCCGAGCTGAATCCTGTGAACTGCAGGTGCAGGTTACAGACGGGAGGTTCAGCTGTGGGAACGTGCCAAGAACTTAACAACACTCAGCTGAAGGGAACCAAGTTTCCCATCACAGCCCGAACTTGAATACAGGAGGCGGCAAATTCCATAGGATTTAGGGGCATAAAAGAAGAATTGCCATGTTCTTCCATAGGCGTCCATTCAAATGCGCATAATACCGTGTATGGAAAGGTGGCATCAAGTTTACTTTTCACCGAGTGCATTTTCATGATAGAGTTAACTCTTCAGAGACAAAATTCTGCATACAATTTAGTTCTCCAAACATTATATCAGAATCAGTCCAATTTTCATCAAAATAAAAACAGATCTGTTTTGTTTTAAGAATGTTTACAAAAACTTGTATATTTAAAATACAAGTATAAAACGAAGCAGTCAGAAACAAACCACCACTCAACCCCATCCTAACGAAGATCACTAGATTGACTTGTAGTGGTGGAATGAACTGAGGAAGTTGAGAAAGGAGCTAACATAGTCATAAGCCTTTACAACATGTAGGTACCACTGAGATACTTCACAACCACCCACAGCAGCCCCATGAGCTAGGTATTATTTTTTATTTATTAATTTTATTTATTTTTTTGAGGCGGAGTCTCACTCTGTCGCCCAGGCTGGAGTGCAGTGGCGAGATCTCGGCTCACTGCAACCTCCACCTCCCAGGTTCAAGCGATTTTCCTGCCTCAGCCTCCTGAGTAGCTGGGATTACAGGCACCTGCCATCATGCCCGGCAATTTTTTTTTTTTTTAGTAGAGACAGAGTTTCACCATCTTGGCCAGGCTGGTCTCGAACTCCTGACCTAGTGATCCACCCGTCTTGGCCTCCCAAAATACTGAGATTACAGGCATGAGCCGCCGCGCCTGCCTCTGAGCTAGGTATTACTATTCCTGCTTTACAGATGACATTGAAGCTCAGAGAAGCCAGGTAACTTACCCAAGATCACACAGCTAGTGAATGGCAAAGACAAGATTCACATCCTAACATTTGGAATTTTTCCTCCCCATGTTTAGAGAGAACCCTTGTATATCACTGGGTATCCCAGAGCATATGATGAGAATCTTGGTAATAGTTAAACCCTTGTTAAAATGATATGGTTTGTAGTCAGCTTTTACTATTCATTAGATAATGATTTCTGGGGAGATATTTATATATTATATTTTTTATGTGTCCAAGTTTAACCTTAGAATTTATCATTGAACTTGCAATACTTTTAAAATATCTGCTCTAATATAAAGACATTTTTACATTTTCTGTTTTTATTTTTTATGGCATAGTTCTAGAATTGAAAGTGAAAAATTCTATTTCAGCATGTTCTCTGCACCTCCAAATTTTCTTGGCTATTACCAGTAGTTCCTTATAGGCAAACATATGAGAAATCTCTGAAGAGCAAATTCAGTTTCGAAAAACAGCTAATGATATCAAAGAAAAGTAGGCACTGGGGGATACTTTCTAGAAGACAGTATTAATATAGCAATACTTTAGGAATAACGATGAATCTGTTTAAACGCAAAAGATCACTAACCTAATCAGATCACTTAGAGGAATAAGTGCTTTTCTCTGTCTTATCCTGAGATCATATTGCCAGTTAACCTATTTTTAAACAAACAAAAATTTTTAAACATTTTCTATCCTTTAAGCAAATCTTCTTTGCTTGGCTAAATGACAATGTTCAAGAAATGCCTGCCACAGAAGCATAAAAAATCCTTGGCAACATTCCAGAAGAAATTCACCCTGCATAATGTGTTCCAGCAAATGCTCAATAGCTTTCTGGTGAACCTGCTGGCTCAGTGTACACTTGAGCAGGATCTAGAGAGAACAAAAGAAAAACTGATAGACATTTTCCTTTTTGTCAGTCTGGTGAAGTAGCCCTCAGCTCATTTTAGGAAACTTCCCCAGCTTGGAAAAATGAGCATGCGTATAGCTAACTTACGAACCCTGCCCTGGAGTCTGGTGCACACGCTGTTGTTGTACTACTTTTGATTCCCTGAAATTCAAGTATAATTATGTTGTTTGTCTTTTCATCCAATAAAATGTGCATTAGCATTTGGTTCACTTTGGAGTGTATTTGTTGAGATGAATCTATTCTTTCAAATGACAAGTTAGTGTTTTCATAATGAGAACACTTTAGATTATATAAAACTCTTAATACAATATTAAAAAGAGGTAGACTGGAGGGACAGACTCCTTTAAAACATCTCAAAAGTGTGTTCATAATTGGCTGAAGCTATTAATTCTCTAGATATTTATGCAAAAATGTCACCGAGTACAGACGTAAAGACTTTAAAACGAAATCCATTTCCTTTCTATAAGGTGAAATAGATGCATATTTTTAATATTTATGTCTCTGCAACTTTTTCTCAGGATGAACATTTCCTACTTCAAAAAGAAAATGGTTGGACATTTTACAGGTCTGTTAAACTGCAGTGATACATTTGGCCCAAATTCTCTCCTTGGGCATGGTGGGAGGGAGAGTTGGGCGGAGCGGGCACAGCGTGTGTATTAAAAGCCTGTTTGACCTTAAATGCCCTCAATGGAGGCCGGGGAGGATGGTTAGGAAGGTAAAATTTTTTCCATTCATTGTTGTAGAACAGCAGATAGTTCTGAAATAAACCCATTTTGCAGGAGAGAAACTCTAGATCCAACTGCCTAGGAGAGAATTTACACCCTGGGGAAAGAGCTGAAGGCACTAGAACATGCCTCCACCACCCTCCCATCACCAGTCAGCCAGCCTGTTTTATACAAGGCCTTTTTCTGATTCCTTGGGGCCAGCAACAGGGTCACTTGGAGGAGGGAGCGGGTGGGCCATTGGCTCAAGGTTTAAAATGTAGTCTTTGGATGGTCTCATAGAAACATGCCAACAAGAGTCAACGGGAAGGATTCATCACACAACTTTAACAGCTAAATATAAACATTAAAAATATACGGTGCTTGTGCTGGCTGTAACATTCTTTTGGCTTTCTTCATTTTTTACTATGCTGGAAACTCAAAAAATGGAAAGACCCAGCTCTCTGGACCTCCAACTACCAGGAAGTCATGTGGTCTATTAGAAGAAGGCAGGATATTTACAAAATCCTCAACTGCTTTCTACAGAAGAAAACGGCCTCCAGACTCCCAGTCACCAGCGTAAAACACCAAATACAAAACCAACGCAAAACACATCAAACTAAGGATACCTTGGACTGGCTCCTTCATCCTGGTCTCCTCTCTCTCTCCAAAGGTTAACCATGATCATCAATTCAATGTGTTTTCTTCCAGAGCTTTAAAAGGACACACACACACACACACACACACACACACATATTAAAAATAATGTTACTATGTGGGTTTATAAAACATATTTTGGTGGACATTGGATATTTGTCTGTTGATGATCTGATGTATTCTTCTGACTTCCCCTTCTCTGATTATACCGGATTACCCCTTAGTTTTTCATGTATGTGACGTCTGTCTCCCAGACCAGAAGGTAAATTTCCAGACCTCTATGTCCAGCATGCATTACAGAGTAATTTTTTGAATGAATGAACTTTGCGTTTTTGACTCCCTCATAGATTAATAGTAACTTTGGACTCAACAGAGGCTTAGCAAATTCTATTTATTTATCTCTTTCCCTTTTTAAAAGAGAAGTTTTGTATTTCAAATCAGGTTCATCTAAAATCCACTTTCTTTCCCAGTCTAGATTTATGGCAGTCAACATCTCCTTAAGATGTTCCACATCCTGACACTAGGGATATAATAAAGGTTGTGACTTTTATTATTATTATTTTATTTGAGACAGCGTCTCACTCTGTCACCCAGGTTGGAGTGCAGTGGCGCAATCTCAGCTCACTGCAACCTCCACTTTCGGGTTCAAGCAATTCTCCTGCCTCAGCCTCCCAAGTAGCAGGGACTTCAGGCGCATGCCACCACACCCAGCTAATTTTTGAATTTTTAGTGGAGATGGGGTTTCACTATGCTGACCAGGCTGGTCTCGAACTCCTGACCTCAAGTGATCCACCTGTCTTGGCCTCCCAAAGTGCTGAGATTACAGGCATGAGCTACCACACCCAGCCCTGGTTGTGCCTTTTAAAGATGAGTGTGTGTGTGTGTGTGTGTGAGAGAGAGAGAGAGAGAGAAAGAGAGAGAGAGAGAGGAGGAGAAAGGAGCAGGAAGAGAGTGAATGGAGCCAAAACCACCTTAGGGTGTGGCCCTGGGGCCCCTGCTGGCCTTCAGACAAAGCCGGACACAAAGGACTTATTCTCTTTGCAAATGAAACCTGGAAAACAAGCACTTTTTCTTCTTTTTTTTAAAATCTCATCCTGCCACTTTTACTTTACACTTTTAGGTTGTTGGTGTCAAAATCAATTTTCTTTTCTTTTTTCTTTCTTTTCTTTTGAGATGGAGTCTCGCTCTGTCTCCAGGCTGGAGTGCAGTGGCACAATCTCGGCTCACTGCAACCTCTGCCTCCCAGGTTCAAGTGATTCTCCTTCCTCAGCCTCCCCAGTAGCTGGGACTACGGGCACCCGCCACCATGCCCAGCTAATTTTTGTATTTTTTAGCAGAGATAGGGTTTCACCATGTTGGCCAGGATGATCTCGATCTCTTGACCTTGTGATCCACCCGTCTTGGCCTCCCAAAGTGCTGGGATTACAGACATGAGCCGCCGCGCCCAGCCAATCAATTTTCATTTATTTCCCTGGAAACTTTATTCTCTGATACTTTAGGCTTCCTGTAAAACAGCAAAGGTGCCCTTTATAGGGACAAAGGGAAACGCGCAAAGTCTCCACATCCATCCATTCACCAGTGATTCTCCAGACCACTCAACCAGACCCTGGGTTATGTCATAAAAAGCTGATCTGAAACCGTAAAAACTTGCCAGAGACTCAACCATTACATTGTGTGTTAGAGGGAGCAGAATATGTGGAAGTTGTATGAAAGCTGCAGAAGTAGATGGGTACTTAGGGACCTCTCTGTGCCTGTGTTATGCCATCTTTCCATCTTGTGACATCATTCGTATTCTTCCCTAGTCTGAGACACTCTCAGTGGCAATTCTTGGCTTTTTTGTGTTTTGTTGTTCTTGTTGTTGTTGTTTTGAGTCTGATCCCTTTTCTCTGGCCAGCATTCCCCCAAAATACAAATATGCTCATACACAAGCAATTCTGCAAAGAATTTCAAGGACATGAAACATCTCCTAAGAGAGAGCCCAGGTAAAGAAGATCTAAACTAAACTGGTGGCAGGTGCCTGTAGTCCCAGCTACTGGGGAGGCTGAGGAAGGAGAATCGCTTGAACCCGGGAGGCGGAGGTTGCAGTGAGCCGAGATTGTGCCACTGCACTCCAGCACACACACACACACACACACATTAAAAATAATGCTGATGACAGAGCCGAGACTCCATCTGCCGCAACAAAAAAAAAAAAAAAAAAAAAATGTTTGCCAGAAACAATCAAACGCTGACAGGTTGTAATAAACATTGACAGTAGCTGCCAAAATAAGCCAATCTTCATATTTTGAGTATTGGAAAAAAGAACTGCTTATCCTGGTTGTCCTTTTCAGATACATTCATGCTATATACTGGATAACAAAGTATACACAGTGTGATATGGAGAGCATTTGTCTCCTTCCAAAATCTCCAATGTTGAAATCTCGATCCCCAGTGTTATGAGGTGGGGCCTGCGTGGGAGTGGTTG